TGAAATGAGAGAAAGACTGAGTGTGAGACTTTGATATTAGATAAAATGAATATTGATAAGGTTTACCTTTATGTACAGAATCTGAATATCACAAATCTCTTTAAAAAATTGCAATAATATCATATCGTGCGTTAAGTATTGTGATAATATCGTGTTGTGGGATGTATGGTGATTCCCACCTCTACTACCCTGATGGTGACAATACCACTATAACAATTCTACAGCCACTCAATAGTTATGCCTCTTTCTTTCTCTTTTTAGAAAAGCTTAAATTAGTTTTTTAATTTTTCTCATTTATTTCAGCAATCACTTGTATTAGCTCAGTTTAGTTTACAGTAAAGGCTCAAAGAAAACACACTCAGAGGAAAAGTGAAACCAAAAGCTTAAGATTGTTGTAAATAGGTTTGCATGTATCAAAAAATGTACGTGACTTATTCGTTCGTTTCACTTTGGGATTCCCCCAGCATTTTATTTTTTTGCATTATTGGTGTGTAGATCATTTCAAAACTGATAGGAAGGTTTAAGAGGTGTAGCTACAGAATATTTGAACGTCTTGCAACACACTTTATTGCATTCATTTTTTTGGCATGTTATACTTTTCTGCAGGGTTTTCATGCACTGTATGTTTTCTGTGGCTTCTGTATTGCAGACGGTTGTGAAAGTTCTAGGCCTGCTGTAACATCTTTAGAGCAGCGGCTCATCAAGCGCCCACGGATCGGTAGGATACACATGTGACTTTTAATTATTCATGCGTTACAGCTACATTCAGACCATCACACAAACCAACAAAGAGAAATATTTAATTCATTGATTTATTAATAAAAACAAAAACAAGAGTTTATGATAAGAAACTAGGAAGAGTTAAAACACAATACAGTAAGTGTGCAGCTGACAGTGGAAAGACTGGGATCCTTCTTGGAAAATTTCCAGTACCTATCTAGTTCTCACAATAATTAATCCAGCATGGTGGTATTGCTAATTTAGGTTAAAGTTTTAAAGGACTTATCACTTTTTTAGCACTCAAACCCTTTGCCTTATCTTGGCAGTAAAGCCTGTGCTGCCAAAAAAGCTCTGCCCCTTTGACACATGGACCTACAGGGAGTGCAGAATTATTAGGCAAATGAGTATTTTGTCCACATCATCCTCTTCATGCATGTTGTCTTACTCCAAGCTGTATAGGCTCGAAAG